TTGGCAGGGGGTTGGACTGGATGGCCCATGAGGTCTCTTCCAACTCTTTGATTCTATGATTCTATGAATCATTAGCAGAATCCATCTATTGCAGTGGTTTTCAACCTGTGGGTTCCCAGATGTTTTGGCCTTCAACTCTCAGAAATCCTAACAGCTGGTAAACTGGCTGAGATTTCTGGGAGTTGAAGGTCAAAACATTTGGGGGCCCACAGGTTGAGAACCACTGCTCTATTGCAATGTGGCAAAAATTTGTCCCACATACATAGGGCACTTTATGCACATTTATCTTGCCAATGGGATGCCAACCATAGACTCTATTGGGTTCAATGGGACTTACTCCCAGGTTTGGCTTGAGAGTTGGATTATGACTCTGGAGACAAGGGTTCAATTCTCCACTCTGTAATAGAAACATACTGGGTAACCTTGGGTATGGCACACATTTTCAGCCCCTTGAAAATCGTATGATAGGTTTGCCATAAATTGGAAAAAAAAACCCTGAACAACAACATGTGTAACATGGCTGACTACAGAACACACATAGCAGGATATGTCCAAATTATAATAGGAAATGTAATTTGCTGGACAACACAAAGGGTCAAGATCTGAATTTAATTCATTTGTGCAACTTGGACTGAGACTGTCCATTCTGTGTGGGGTAAAGGCTTCTGAGCTCTCAGGAAGAGAGCTAGAATGCAACATAATGTTCCAGATCTTTATTTCAAGTGACTTTAACAATGCTTAATTTAATTTGGATTCATATCTTAAATGCTTTTCTTCTCTCATGCCTGGAATAACTTAAAAAGAATCCTCAATGAAATAGCTTTGATTTGCCCCTAGATTAACTTTTAGAATGTATCGACTTTCTTCAAGAGACATGTTTTCCTATTATATCCTGTTTCCTGGTTTTGCTTAAGTTACAGTTTCCAATTTTGGTCACAGGGAAGTATGGGAGCTCTCCAGTGAATATCTCATTCATGTTGGCACCAACAGTCATTGCTTGGATGAGCCCTGAAGTGTATAAAGTGAATGCATAAGCAATTGAGAGTTCCCTTATATTTATGTATTCTTTCAGCTCTCTTCATATTTTGATCTTTATGAATTGGGGGGGGGGGGGGGGGGATTAGATTTTAACAGGCGCACATGGCTGCCTGTGGCCCATGTGTTGCCCAGTCTCACAGATCTGCTGTAGATAACAACGTTTCTGTCATATTTCAAACGTGGCTTCCAAGCAATTCACTGTTTGGAATAATTCATTTTTGTAGGGTGGAAGACTCCTTGAAATAGAGTGCCTCCAGATGCTGCTATCGTGGAACAAAAGGCACAGGCATATTTAAAATCAGACTTGATAGTTTTATGACTTAGTAGATGATGGTAGCTGGCAAGCTTTCTTTGAAAGCACTAAATAATCAACCTTTGGGGAGATATAAAGTAGTTGCACGAGCAGGGGCAACCACCCCATCCCACCAGAAAGAAAACAAACACACAGTGTTGGGATAACAAAAGGTCCCAAGTTGTTTATTGGTTATGAATGATAACAGGGTTGACTGCCATGCATGGATCCTGGATCATGAATTAGCCTGTTGGTGACTGATGTCACTAATTATGCCCGGGGATGCGACCATTTACTACAGGCATGGGCAAACTTTCTAACTTGGGGGCCGCATGCTAGCACTCCCTGCCAGGAGGACTGACTGTCCGGTGATGGAAGGAAGGAAGGGGGGGAGGAGGAAGGAAAGAGAGAAGGAAGGACAAAAGGAAGGGAAGGATGAAAGGAGAAAGAGGGAGAGAGGAAAGGAGGAAGGAAAGAGGGAAGGAAGGAAGAACAAAGAGGAAGGAAGGAGGGAAAGATGAACGGGTGGAAGGAAAGGATGGAAAGAAGGGAAGGAGAAAGGGAAAGAGAAGGAAGGGATGAAGAGAAGGGTGGAAGGGTGGAAAAAAGGTAAGGATAAAGGAAAGAGAGAAGGAAAGAAAGACAAAAGGGACGGAAGGAAGGAGAAAGAAGTAGAGGGGGAAAAGAACAAAGGAGAGAGGACAAAAGAGTGGAAAGGAAGGATGGAATGAGAAAGAGGGAAGGAAGGGAAGGAGGAAGGAAAAAGAAAAGGAAGGAAGGACAAAAGGGAGGCAAAGACAAAATGTGGAAGGATGGATGGATGAAAGGGAGGGAGGGAGGGAAGGAGGAAGTAAAGAGATAAGGAAAGATAGGGTGGTGAGAGAGAGGAGGGCCTGAGAAAAGAGCCCAAGGGGCTACATCTGCCCCCCCGGCCTGGGTTTACCCATACCTGATTTGCCAACTGGTTCCATGCTGGGACTGCAGTCCCACCACACCCCTGATAAGCCACTGGATGCTCCCCCCTTCAAAATTGGGGGAGGGGGTATGCCAACTGGATCCAGGGCCCATGCTTTGGGGCCCCTGGTGGTGCAGTAGGTTAAGCCACTGAGCTGCTGAACTTGCTGACCAAAAGGTTAGCAGTTTGAATCCGGGAAGCGGGATGAGCTCCTGCTGTTCACCCTAGCTTCTGCCAGCCTAGCAGTTCAAAAGCATACAAATGTGAGTAGTTCAATAGGTACCACTTTGGTGGGAAGATAATGGTGCTGCATGCAGTTGTGCCGGCCACATGACTTTGTGGCCGGCACAGACAATGCTGGCTCTTCAACTTAGAAGTGGAGATGAGCACCACCCCCAGAGTCAGACACGACTAGACTTAATGTCAAGGGAAAACATTTACCTTTTTATTGTGCACTAGCCATCCCCTTCCATGCGTTGCTGTGACCCAGTCTGTGTATATGTGTTTTTGTGTTTGTATGTGTGTGTATATATTTGTGTATATGTGTATATATGTGTGTTTGTGTTTATATATGTGGTTTTGCATATGCGTTGTAATGTTTTGGGTTTTTCTGGCTTTTTAAGTCTCTTCTGCTGTGTTTTTCAGTGTTTTTATGAGTGATGGTTACTTGTTGGCCTGATACATGTCTTGTGTTCAAATTTGATGTCAATTCGTCCAGTGGTTTTTGAGTTACGTTAATCCTACAAACGAACATTACATTTTTATTTATATAGATTACAGTTGAGCCTTATGTATTGTGCATTGCACATTGTGTAACAGCACATAGTCATTGATGTGTGGTGCACAAGGTTTCTTCATTGCATGAGGGATGCATAGTATCTGCAGAATGAATGGTTGTATGTGGATATTTACACAACATTGAGAAGATGTTGGATTGCAACCTCTAGGTGTCTTCTTTGAGAGTAGGCAAGACTACAAAGGTGCCCAATGCATCTCCAATAGCCCTACATATCCGGGCAAGGATCAGAATTTGTGATGGGAATTCTCAAAAGCAGTGCTATACTTTTTATCATGTAATTGACTCTCTGTTTTACTACTTATCATTCCCCCCCTCTAGGTAACTTTCAAAGGACAGAGAGGAAAAGGCCAAACTGGCGAAATTGGATTGGATGATGTGAGCTTGAGGAAAGGCCCGTGCTCCCAAGACCACTAGTGATACAGACAGACTGACAAAGAGAACATACTTTATTGTCAATGTCTCTTAGCCAGGACAGGTATTGGGTGGATTCATTTTTCTCCCTTGTCTTTGTGAAATCCCAAAGGACCGGCATCTAAACAAAGAACATTTTCTGTCCGGAAAAAACGAGTGCCAACTTGCACTGAAGATTGTAATTAACTCATCCAACTCTTAAATGTATGTGATAAAGGCATCCTGAATTCTGAATTATGGACACAAATATCCTTTGTGAAGAAGAAACTGTGACCAGACATAATCAACAGGATCCTTTAGTATGCATAACATTTTTATAATGGTCTTTTGTGCATTTTGTTGTTTATACAATATCATGGAGCTGGTTCAGTTTCATGAACACTCTGAACTGCGGTGGTTCTATTGCTATTAAATTTTAAACGAGTGTTTTTACATACACACACATATATATTTAATAACACTTATTCTTTTTCTCTCTTTAGAGACAATTATAGAGTAGGCACTGCATCCCTTAATATTCGTAGTGCTGTGTTCTGTATAAATATGTATGAATACTAATGTATTTATATATGGAGTTTTTTGTTGAAAAAATTAGTTGCAAGGTAAAATGGCAGCTATACGCATCAAAGTTGGACTAATATATAGGTATCCACACTAACACTTCTGAGAAATTGCTCCTTTTCAAGTTTGTCATTACAGTAGTAATAATCACTTTCTCTAAAATAGCAATTTATTTTATAAAAAGACTGAAGAGAACATATACTTACCTATTTAGGAGATCACTGATTCTCTGAGTATGATGGCCTTCCAAGTGTAGTCTCTTGGTGGTGGGTACGCAGGTGACTGTGGAACCCTATTCTTGACCCGCATGTTCTTCCACAGTGAGGGCATCAGTTTCCAGGTGGAATGCGGTCCCGGTCAGGTTGACTTCTCACGCCTTCCTCTTGGCATGTTTTTCCCTTTTGCCCTCCATTCGTGCCTCTTTGAATTCCACAGCACTACAGGTCACAGTTGACCTCCAGTTAGAGTGCTCAAGGGCCAGGGCTTTCCAGTTCTTGGTGTCTATGCCATAGTTTGTGAGGTTAGCTTTAAGCCAATCTTTTAAATCTCTTTTCCTTTCCACCAACATTCTGTTTCCCAGTATTATCTCCCAGTTTTTGTTAAAAAGGATCAAGTCGCAGACCTGAATATTTTCAGAAGTAACTGATTGTGGTAAAACAATCACAGCAAACCCACAGGTCACAACTTGAACCAGCTGGTATCCATGGTTATAAGTTGCCATGGCATTTTTTGGAGGCAACAACTCACTCTTCTGCTTTCCACATATGTGCCCCCCTATGTAAATTCATATATATTGTTCATACTTTTCTATTCATATGTAGGTAGTTTTATTCATACGAAGCCCCCGGTGGCACAGCGGGTTTAAGTGCTGAGCTGCTGAACTTGCTGACCGGTTCAAATCTGGGAATGGGGTGAGCTCCCACTGATAGCCCCAGCTTCTCCCAACCTAGTAATTCGAAAACATGCTAATTTGTGTCGATCAATAGGTATCGCTTCGGTGGGAAGGCAATGGTGCTCCATGCAGTCATGCTAGCCATGTGACCTTGGAGGTGTCTATGGACAACATCGGCTCTTCAGTTTAGAAATGGAGATGAGCAACACCCTCCAGAATCGGACATGACTAGACTTAATGTCAACCAGAAACCTTTACTTTCTTTAGGTAGTTCAGTCATTGGTACAGTTGAGTTGACCAATAATGGGCAATGGAAATAATGCAAATAAATTGTATTATTTTGCTTCTGGAACATGGCCATACAGCTGGAAAACTCACAGCAACCCAGTGATTCCAGCCATGAAAGCCTTCGTCAACACATCAATACAAATAAAATCAGCTAGTTTATGGTAGTAACAGAATGCACTGAAATTCATTTCAGCGATTACACTCATTTCTTTGAATGATCCTATCATGCAGTTCCTTGCTTTGGTTCTCAGAATGGTGGTATTGAATAAACCATCTGTATAGATAACAATTCCGGTAGAATGGGATAAAACACTGTTGATCCTGTTTTATTTTTATAGTTTGTATTGTAATCTTGAGACAACTGTGGAATTCTTTAAATTTCTGTTGTTGAAGCTAGTTGGACAGCTGAACAGCAAGCTCTGATGTGTAAAAGCAACTTGCCTCTTCAACTAAGTATGTAGTCAAGTCACATTAACAGCATTTGTGACCACTTCAACTGTTTTTATATGAGGTTCTTATGTGTACCTCATGTGTATACATAGAATTGCAAGGTTTCAGTCTGTATTTTAGAATTATAATATTTAAAATGCCAATGAGAAGTGTTTAATTTCTTTAGGTGATGCTCTATTTGAAATTGAAACAACCAATACTTGTAATGTACCATAATCATTTGTTTGTACAGACCAAACATTATCTTTTTATTTTAAGGACGTTTTGAAATGTAGCTGTATTTGAATGTTCTGTTAATATTACAATTGCTGTGGCAATACAATCTTGAAATGTAAAGTATGGATTAAAGGCAGTGGGCACAATCATGCAAAAATTACTCATGACAAATTTATTGTAAACACAGTGGAATGAGATAGTTACATATAATTTAAGTCCAAGTGACATCCATGCAACTTTATCATTAAGGTTTAGTACGTTTTGTAATTTACTGAATTGTAAACAATTTTCTTGTTTCTCTTTTATGCTGTGTTAGCTCGGTGGTAAAGGCCACATTTGGTCAAAGTCAAATAATATATTTCAGTCTTCCCTTCTAATTAGCAAGTACCTTGACAAGTCACAATCTTTGATTTGCAAAGGTCCATCTGAAGACTTGTACCCATCTTGTCAGTTGAGATTTTGAAAATAATACTTCTATACAACTTTGAAAGTAGTTTAAAAGAAGTTTGTGGCATGGAAGATTGAAATGCCTATTTATTTATTTTTTGCTAAGCCAACAATGAATAGTGGTGAGCTATTGGAAGGCAAACCAGTCACGTGGGTTGCCCTCCCTTAGAATTGTAGATAACTATGTATTTTCTGAGATTCTAGCCAAATGTTTCAATTCTTTTCTTGAACTGTAGTGACTTATTGGTAATATTAAAATTATGTATTTATCAGAGCCCAGCTCATAATGTTCGAAAAGAGAACAACTGATATATAGTACACACACCAAGTTGACTCTTTATATCAATTGATTCTTCATCCATGGATCCAACTATACACAACTTGAACAGATTGCCCCACACCTCTAAATCGAAAAAGGAAATGTTGACTGTGTCATTTTATATATTAGGGACCCCCTTTTACTATGCTGTTGTATATCATGGTAACTGAGCATGTATAATTTTTGGTGTCTATGAGGAACCAGCCCCAGTGGATATCCACTGGATATCTTTAAAAGCTATGGTTCAACACATTTACTTGATTAAATAAGACTGTTTCTAGATAATATTTTGTAAGTCCTGAGACTCCTGTACATCAGATTACACTGGCCTCCCAGTTTGGTTCAATTGAGGAACCATGCATGGAACTCATCCATTGGAATGAATGAGTTGTTAGCTCATATAAGGGGTTCGTGTAGTAAAATCAGGACTGAGGCGGTAATCTTTTAACACCATATATATTATGCCTTATTGCTTACTAGCTCAGGTACCCGGCATTGCCTGGGTTATTTGAAAAACTCAATTTTTAATTGTACAAAATCCATAAGGTTGTGGGAGAACTACAACTGACACCATGCCTGGAAAACTCCATCAGTACTTTGTTATATTGAGCAAGGTTGCTCTAGATGCATTATCGGTAGGGTTCAGTGTGCTCTCTCGCTGTAGGGTAACTACAACTCCCACTATGGTGAGTCAGTCCCCACAAACCCCTTCAGTAGTTTGAGTTAATCATGGGGGTTTGGGGTGCCAAGTTTGGTCCAGGTCCATCATCGGTGGAGGTCACAGTTTCTCTGGTTGTGGGTGAACTACAACTCCCAGGAAGGAAGATCAGTTCTCCCCAAACCCCTCTAGTAATCAAATTTCTGCATATCAGGTATGTGTGCCAAGTTTGGTCCAGATTCATTGGTGTTTGGGTTCACAGTGCTCTCTGGATATACATGAACTACAACCCCCCCCCCCCCCCCCCCCCCCCCCCCAAAATCAAGGTGAATTTTCCCCAAAGACCTCCAGTACTTTTTGCTGGTCATGGGGCCACTTTGTGCCATGTTTGGTGTAATTCCATCTATTTTGGAGTTCATTGATTGCAGGTGAAATATAAATCCCAGAACCTACAACTCCGAAAAGTCCAGACCAATTCCCCTCAAAACACACCAGTATTCAAATTTGGGCATCTCAAGTATGCATGCCAAGTTTGGTCCAAATTGATCATAGTGTGTTCTGGATGTAGATGAAGTACAACTCCTATAAATCTATACATCCCAATACCCACAACTCCTATAAATCATGGTGAATTCTCCCCAATTGCCTGTAGTATGTTCAGTTTCTGAGCAATCCCTCTGTTTGCTGTGTGCCACACAAAAGAAAAGGAAAGGGTTAAGTGGGAGGCAGTGGGCAGGCTCATGCAAATTCCACATCAATGAAGAGTAAGGAACACTAGGATGTCTGTGGTGGAGGAAACACATAAAATCTAGAATGAAATTGTCCCCGCATGAAAGCCTTCAACTGGGTGGTGAGCAGTATGGACAATGGCAGAGCTCTTGGACATGTTAATGGTGCCTGCTATAGCTTGCAATGTCATTGGAGGGAGGGCCTTTGGAGTCTTCTAAGTAATAGAAGTGGACACACCAGCCAAACACACATACATATTTTCACTTTTATTATGTGTTTAGATAATGAGCAAAAGCTGTTTTCAGTAAAAGGAGAAATTCCTCAGAATATGCAAGTTGCTATTTCTAGCGGTCATGAACAAGATTTTATCATATTTTAAGTTGATGTCAGTATGAGTAACTTCTAGCATGGAGGAGAACTGGCTGCATGAGTTACTTCTGCAACTGCTTACCATGCTTCTAGTGTAATAATAGCTATAGCTAATGAGGGAAGTCATATATCTTTTTTGTGATGAGATGCATGGGTACCAGATGGAAGAAAGTGCAATTTACCACACATCTGAACAGCTGTATTATTTCCCCCTTTGACTGTTAAAAGCAATGTGAAGAGCAGATGCTGAAACAACATGCACATCCTTCATACCACATCTGAGGCAGCCTCTATTTAAACTGTCCTCTGTTGAGTTCTATTTCCCTATACATTTCACTGACACCTTGATAGTTCAAATCATTTCTCTCTATTTGACTTTGTGAAACCATTTCCTTCACTCTTTCATTAGGCCACTCTCTGAGTTTTCATATTATGTTTTATATCTCTAGATGTGTCCTTTAAGATGTTTTGCAGTGGTGCAGTTAGAAAGGTTAAGGACACTTATTTTGAAATAGCCTTCAAATGATCATATCAAGAAATATACACAAGCCTATATGCACAATCACTTCTTGCTGGTTAAAATAATATGCAAAATGACATTGATCCATCTTCTCTGTGTGGTACAGAAAAATTGTGAGTGTTAATTGTGATTAGGATGTGTACACAAGAGTGTGTTCATTGAACAGGAATGCTAGGGATATGCTTTATCACTACTTCACACGGAGGACAAGAATGTCCTTCCAAATCCATAAAAGGCAGTGTATGTAAACATCTTTCTACATGCAGAATGTTTGGAAAAATATTGTATTAGTGCATTTAAAAGGTGGATAGGACATTCAGCTATATGAAGTATGCATCACTCTGTCATATTTTCAGTCACATATACACAACACTAGTACTTGCTTTTTTGGTGCCAAGAATCCCACATATATTGTATTACAGAATATGACTTGATTTGACAGAATATATATTGCATTAAATTGAAACAAAACACACTACTGAAAGTACTGTAGGGTATCTTACAAGGTAATAATTTAATATGGGTTATAAAAAATGTTCAGCGGACCCCCTTCCTCAACTGACTCAAAATAAATATATATTTGCAGATATATATGCATTGGGTTTTTTGTTGTTACTTTGCTTTTGTGAATAATGGTGACTGTGATTTATTTGTTGGTTTACTTAGAGCCTCCAGTGGTGCAGTGGGTTAAATTGCCAAGCTGCTGAACTTGCTGACTGAGAGGTCGCAGGTTCAAATCCGGAGAGCGGGGTGAGCTCCCAGTGCTAGCCCCAGCTTCTGCCAACCTAGCAGTTTGAAAACATGTAAATGTGAGTAGATCAATAGGTATTGTTCTGGCGGGAAGGTAACAGCACTCTATGCCATCATGCCAGCCACGTGACCTTGGAGGTGTCTACAGACAACACCGGCTCTTTGGCTTAGAAATGGAGATGAGCGTCAACCCCCAGAATCGGACACGACTGGACTTAATGTCAAGGGAAAACCTTTACCTTTACTTAGAGAAGAGTAATTCTTTTCTAAAACCCGTGGCTGTTGTTAAAGTACAATCCAGTTTGGATCCAACCCACAGGGTACAATACATTCATATTTGGCTTTCTCATCTATCTAAAGGTACATGCATTGGTGAATGAACAAAGCAGAATTTTTGAAAAGTTGTATCTTATCAATATTCTCAATCCTGTTGTTGGCAGAACCAATCATTCAACAGGAGAGTCTGAAAATTAAGCAACCACAGCATTCTTCCCACATTTTTCCTGTGTCTTAGATGTGCTTCATTAACTCCTTGCCTGGATTCTTGTAGAAACTAAAGCAAACAGAGAGGCCAAAAGGCCATGTTTACTGCATCTACAGAGTGTGGAAACAAAGCAAATGTAGAAACAAAGATCATTTATCTGTGGACATTTAATATTTTTCAAACACTGTACTCAACAGTTCCATATAGAAAGAGGTACTGTATCACAGTTTTTTTAAAAAAAAGACTGTGGCTTCATGTCACCTAAAATGAAATACTTTTACGAAGTTCGTACCTTCTCGTTATTTAGAAATTTAGAAAAAAAAATCCCCTCTGATGCCCATCTCTGTGCAAAAAAATATCTTCTGCACTATGTGTCCTGATACTTTTTGTGAAGATGATATAACAACAACAACAACAACAACAACAACAATCATCATCATCATAATGTTATTTCTAGACCACCCTCCGAAGGGACTCAGGGCGGGTTACAGACATAAAACAAAAAGTCAAACATTCAATGCTTCAAATAAATACTAATACATCAAAATAATACAAGATAATGCACTGAAACAACAGTAAACTTACAACAAAGAATTAAGCATCAAGATAAAATAATAAAAAAACAATCCAATAAGACATAAAAGATGAGTAAAACAATACAACATATACCCTAAAAATAATTAAGATACAATTACATTAAAATGGCTTTAAAATGGCTAACACCAGTATTCATTTAAGATGTGTCGTAGCAGCCATAAAACACAAGTGGGTTAGCCAATGTTCCAATGGGTTGAAATGTCCTGATGCTTGACTATCTAATGAAGAGACCAATATCCACTAATTGCAGTAATGCAAATGTATCTAAACAAACTCAATGTATA